ATCCATATGATGGATCTCTCATCCCTTCAGATTTCCTTAAGGAACTTTGCATAATGCGGCATCTGGGCTAAGGCATCTGCAAAAGGAATGTTAATATGTAAACTCTTRAAAATTTCAAGAAACTTACCGAATTCCTTTTCCATTTTGTGTCGCTTAAGCCTATTGGAAAATGGTACTTGTGGCTTTTGACTTGTCTCTTTCCTAGAATCCGACTGCTCTTCCTCCTTCTTTTCGGTCTCTAGTATTGCACCCATCTTTCCTTCTTCCTTTATTTCTTCTCCACCTCTTGCAGCTCCTTACCACTCCTCAAGGTAATGGCTTGCACTTGTTCTCTTGGATTCGCTTCTGTATTGCTGGGCAAGGTACCTTGAACTCTAGAGGATAGAATTTGTGCCAACTGCCCCACTTGAGTCTCCAAATTCTTGATCGATGCCTCTTGATTTTGAAATCTTGTTTCCGCACTTGATATGAACTTGGTCATTAGCTCCTCTAGATTAGATTTCTTTTCTAGCTGAGTGAAGTTTTGAGGGAGGGGTTTCACCACATTTTGATCTGACCAAGACAGATTGGGGTGATTCCTCCATCCGGGGTTAAAGGCACGAGGATAGTGATTGCCTTGCTGCCTTTGCAAATTCCCTACGAAATCTACTTGCTCAGGGGACTGCATGAACTGATTTCCAACTTGGCATTCGGTGCTGATATGACCTCCCCCACACCATTCACAGGCTACGGCGTGAACATGCATGGTTGCCAACTGCATTTCATCGATCTTCTTGCTGAGGGCGCTGATTTGTGCAAATAGTGCTATATAGGTGTCTACATTGTGAAGGTCGGGTTGTCTCCTAACTTGGGCTCTCTCGGAATGACACTGATAATTATTTGCAGCCATTTCCTCAATAAGTGCATGGGCAACTTTAGGGGTCTTGTTATTAATGGATCCCCCAGCTGCAGCGTCCATAATGGTCTTGTTTGCTTCAGTTAAACCATTGTAGAACGTCTGAACTTGGAGTAAAACGGGAAGTCCATGATGAGGGACCTTCTTCAGTAATTCCTTGTAGCGCTCCCATGATTCATATAATGATTCTCCGTCCTGCTGAGAGAAAGTGGTGATATCATTCCGCATCTTTGCAGTCTTGGATGGAGGGAAATACTTTGATAGGAAGGGACTGGCCATTTCATCCCAAGTAGAGATCGATCTAGCTTGTAGAGAGTTCAGCCAAGTCTTGGCCTTGTCCTTCAACGACAATGGAAATAATTTGAGCCTCACAGCATCATCACTAACTCCATTGTGCTTGAATGTGTCGCATATCTCCAAGAAGTTGGCAATGTGAGTGTTTGGATCTTCATTAGCCAAGCCGCAGAACTGAACTATGTTCTGGATCATCTGAATGATTGCCGGTTTGATCTCAAAGTTATTAGCAGCTATTGCTGGTCTCACAATGCTCGAGGCTGCCTCGGTGAGGGTTGGTTTGGCATAGCTTCTCCAACAGTTGCAGCTACATCTATAGGATCTATAGATTTATTTTTTCAGAGAAGGAATTGTTATAATTAAAGATTGTCTTTATGTACCAACTTTGAAAAGAAATCTAATTTCTGTTTCAAAATTGTGCAAGGATGGTTATCTATTTTGTTTAGTAATACGATTACTATTAAACTGAATAACAAATTCTTAACTTACAGAGAACTGGAGAATAGCCTCTATGTCCTCCATCCTTTTCTGGACACAAGCATAACCGAAACTACATCAGAAATAATCCCCAAGAAAAGATCATGTGATACGATTAATCCCATATGCTTATGGTATTATTGACTTGGCCACATTAATATAGATCGTATCACAAGGTTGGTAAAGGATGGTCCTTTGGATTTTTTAACTGATGGGCTAATCTTGCATCTGCCCACAGTCCCTAGGTGTTACAAGGTGGCTTGGTCCAGGGACCACTTAGGGTAAGTGTTGGGTCCATAGAGCCCATTTGATGGGTTTCAGGGGGTGCACTGTCCATAGCAGTGTATTCGGCCAAGCCTTATAACAAAGGCTGGGCTGAACCCATGTGGCTGATGTGTAGATGAATGCTTGGGTCCCATGCCATACAAGGAAGCCCAACTGGGCAGCAGTTAGGAAGGTTAAGTGAGCACATAAGCTTAATGGGCCTAAAGCCCATTTCGAACTGGACTTATTTAATAAGTTAAATATGGGCGAATTCTGAGATGGATCAGCAAA